GCCGGTTCTATAAAAAAGATCAATAATCACTCAGTGTGGGCATTCTTTTCAAACCCATTCGAAGGAACATTCCGAAAACTTATAAATATCTCTTATAAACTTCAAAAAAATGGTCATGCTGGACCATGAGAGTGAACGAAAAGCGCGCCGGTCCCTCGTGGCGGTTTTCCCGCAAAACGCCATGGTCGTCAATGGGTTAATATAAAGAAACGTAAATTAATAAATGAAATATTATAAATATGTGCATACTATACGTTTCACCAAAACCCACATGGACACTGCCTGTATAGCCGATTCCTTCGCTGAACTCGTATTCACCGGTAACAACGATATTTTTATGAATTTCTTCTTTCATGCATTTCTTATTATTTGCGGGTACGTGGAAACGAATACCGCAGGCGATCGTCACCAAAGCCAGGAGCGTCAATGAGGTTATGTTCCTCATTGTGAATAACCGCTGAAAAGAATATCAAATGAGAACACAACAACAAGTCTGAAACGATTAAAACACACATAAAGGCGAATGAGGACAAATCAGAAAGTAAACGAAACCCTCAATATACATCGTGCCATTAACAAAAAAAAAACAATAATCGGAGCGAAATTAGATGGAAGGTCATCGTACAAAACTACCTTGTACAGATCAATTATACCTTACCGGAACATCCAGGTTCTATCCAGAATTCATTGACTCATTGACTGACTTCTAGCATAAACATCATAATCTTTTCGGAAGCCAGTCACCGATAAAATAATTACTTGCGACACTAATTGCAACCACAAATGCATTATATTAATTCATTTATACACTCAAAGAGTGCACCTCAAAAAGATAATCAGGACGTAAGATCAAAGCTAGTCTATAGCAAATTGAACTAAGGCCAAGTCATATAATATCAGACCGCTGTATCACACGACTTATGAGAAATGAAGAGATAGAAGAGATGAAATGGATGTGGCCCTGTTGTAGTACAGTGCTGACAACTAACACCACAGAATCAAAAAACCAGTACTTTACCAAAAGGCCATGGTGCCTCATTCCAATAGGAGTCATAGGAAACAGTCGGCACTACGGCACACAGAACGTGGAACCGACTCGTGGGAAACTGGCAAAGCAAACCGAAAACTATGGTTAAATAGCAGGCAGCATCGAAAAAGGCAAGAAATGAAAGTAGCGGGCTAAACTAAGTTGGCAAAAGCATTCCGCTGGATTACAGGAAGTATGAGGAATGAAGAGATAGGGGAGATGGACATGGATACAGCTCTGTTGTAATACTGCATTGTGTTACCTTATTTCGTAACGCAGACGTAGATGCGATTACAGATGCGTTAACCAGCCCGTTTTTTGCCTCTCCCTCGACATTCGATTTACCCTCATAATTGTACTTTCTGTTAACCGATCCCGGAGAGAGCGAAGACTCCGGTGGCCTGGGCGAGTATAGCACCGGGATTCGTTCTCTGTATGGGATCTTTCGGGATAATCAGGTGATAGTGCGCTTTTTGCCACTATATCACATCCGACCGGCAATTATTACTTGCTGATATGATCACATGAAAATCTATCTTTTTGATAGAGCCGTTATGGAACTACTTAACATTGCAATTCCGCAAAAGTTCCTTCGATCGCAAGTCATGAAGGCTAGTAATGCAAACGTAAGCAACTCATCTCGTCCACAAATATTCGAAACAGACTCATGAAATACGACGTTTTTTAACATTCACAGACATATGTATATGCATAGGTAGCGGAAAAACATTCCGCCCCCTTCCGCTCAACTGCTTTTCGATCCAAAGGTTCGTAAAGAACCCCCTTATCGCGGCGAGTAAGCAAGGAACGGCCGCAAATATCAAACAAGCACCTCATTGACTACAAGTCCATGGTGAATGAGACCTTACATTAACAAGAAATCGAAGAAATGAATTTAAAAGGACTCAATGTTCAAGCAGGACTGTTTCTACCATGTGAGGACCTTAATTACTCGCCGCAAAACAGCAATGTCCACCTCACAGGTGCTGACATGACGCAAAAACACCTCGTACCACCTACGTAATTGCGTACTGAAGCAGTTTGCAATAACTTCGCTGGTGTTTGGGAGCGTACACTGTTGTAGTAAATATGCCAATCTCCACATTTTCACTGAAATCAATCTTATGAATTGCTTACTTTTCTCCCTCGGTGAACGCTTGACATTTTGACGAGGGACTTTGGCTACGTCCACAGTGACGACATTTTTGACCAAAAATATAATGCCAAGCACGAAGTAAATTAATAAGTAGAGTAGTAGAAGATTAAATGCCGAGTTTGCAGCATTAATGACCACATTCAAGAGCCTCTCTCAGAGCTAACAACACTCCATAAAGCCCTTTCCTAAATCTCCAAGTTTGCCCCATTCGTAATGATCACAAGACGTTAGCTGGATGAGCTGGAATGAACTGATTGTGAACGTAGTGAACGCTCACTGCTGAATGTAGCAATTCGATCACTGACAGATATGATGGGTTATTACCACATTTCCACTACTTTACGAACCATTTCATTTTTGTTCCATGTTTAGCGTGGCGTAGTGGCAAGCGGCACACTATCACACGTGCATGGTCACGGGTTTGAATCCTATATTGATATCCGTCTCGACCAACCAAACATTCCATTCTTCCGGGATCGGTTAGTTGGTAACAGAATCGTCTTAGAAGATAAAAGCACTGAATTGTATATTGGTTGGCCAGCGCAAGTCATGGTATAGGCCACATGCTTATTCATTACACTATTAAAATTCTGAATGGAACTCGAATGAGGGGCGAATTCCTCAGGCGAATCGTTTAATGCCAAAAGACTATCATTTTATCACTAGTCGCCAAACCAAGAAGTGTGAAAATATTCATCTTCGTGATTAAGCGCAAAATCGGAGCTCCCAATACAACGCAATCAAAATGGACTGAAATCCAAAAACTGGAACCAGCTGCAGTACATCAGAATGAACAGATGCTTCCTTTTCAACAGAACGTTTAAAAATAGCGCGTCAGACTCACCACTGATGCTTTCAACTGAGAAAACACAAATATGCACTTTCGGACGTCGCAGCCCACATGTATTAGCTAACAGCGGAAATTTTTTTCCATTACACGTTTCGAATATCACATATTTCAATACAGTCATCACCAAGGCAATGTTGGATCCACCTCCACAGCACTCAAGACTTAAAACCAATCTGATTTTGTGATTAAAACGGCTCCATAATTACTTCCGCCTTCTCCTTACTTGAAATTTGGGCATGTTAAGCAATAAGTAAGGTATAACAAACCAGTTGGCCTACGCACGCTAACGCGTGCACCACACGCCCACTACCGCTTACCTACGATTGTTAGAGTACCAATATGAGCAGTATCCCGTCGCCTGCACACCCATCAAATTTGAGCGCTCTAGGTCCACGGGGGCAGGAGTTATGATTTTTCACACAAACCCCGCCCCTCATGGGAGGAGTGCGGTCCTACCACCCGCCTGCCTGCACCCCTACCAAATTAAACCGGTTATGAATTTAAGAAAGTTATGGATTTTCGTATATAAATGTAAGAAGGGATGTGAGCTTCGAGGCACGCTCCGCCCATTGTGGGCGAGCCTCC